TAGCTGCTCTCCACCACCTTCTGCTCCACTGCGTGCTACCTCCTCCGTTAGGTCGACTCTAGCTGCTCTCCACCAGCTTCTGCTCCACTGCGTGCTACCTCCTCCGTTAGGTCGACTCTAGCTGCTCTCCACCACCTTCTGCTCCACTGCGTGCTACCTCCTCCGTTAGGTCGACTCTAGCTGCTCTCCACCACCTTCTACTCCACTGCGTGCTACAATCACCGATGATCTACCTGGTAAGTTCTGCAATATTATAACTGCATCAACATATGGGCATCACAAAGAATCTTCATGCCATGCTGTCACTCATCCTGTGTAGTCTAACAAACAGCTGATGTCGAGATGGTTACTACCACATGCCTAATCGGTAGGGATACGACTGACTTTATAGCTGCCGTTTCTTAAAGGAACGAGGACCCAGCAAACAAGGCCAGTGAGAGACGTCCATGTGCTGGTAAACCAGATGCAAGTCATGACTCGACAATGGAAGGAGGACGTGGCAAGAAGTGAGGCCCGGGAGGAACGGTTGATCGCCAGCATCCTCCACACTGACAGTACGGTTGAGAAGCTGATGCAGAGAATGGAGAACATTCAACCTCAACCAACCACATTCTCACCACCACCACAACATCAACCACCGCAAGACGCCCAATTCGTAGGTTATGGTTATCTTATTTACACTAGCGCCTGAAAAGCACAATTTATACACTCTACCTCAGTGTGTGTGTGTGTGTATATATATATTTTCTGTGACACTCAAGGTTTTACCTTTTATACTTGTGTGCTCTTATACCTCGTTTTACTTTTCTTAATATTTCGTATAAATAAAACATTTAACTAAAACTTCTGTGAGTTTCTTTATTTGTGGAATGAAACACACATGAACTGCACAAGAATTGTGTTTACAAACCTATGACCAGCTGGCAGTTGTGTCCTGAAGACGTCTAAAGGTCTGCGCGGGGCAGGTTGGCACTCAGGTAATCTGAGGGCGGCTCTGATCCTCTGTCCACGGTTGTTGGCACGACCACCTGGCTGTGGCAGGTTCGATGCCAGTGTGGCCGCTTCCACTGACCAGTTGGGATCCACAGCTTCCCAACAGGAAGTGAGCGATTTCTCTCGGTTCCTGGGAGGAGAAACAGAAATGGTTTCCAGTGTTGGACCTGCTTACTAAATGGCCCAGCATAAATAAAACAATATATACATAAAAGCACAATAAAGCCTCTATAAAACATCATTCTACTTTAAGCTGGTAACATCTCAATAGCTTGGTGGGAGCTCCACTAGTTTCTGCATGAATAACTTTCAGTGGCTCGACTCATTTATTGATCTCATTGATTTGATCCACACATTAATACGTCTTCAGAGTACGACTTACTTCTGCTAACAGGCGTGTCTGGCTGAGCACGTTAGCGTCATGAGCTCACCCAGGCATCTTACAGCTGATGCTCCACAAGCTGAAAGAGAACAAGTCGTCAGCTTCTAATGGCACACACGACACACTAACACACACGTGAACATACGTAGGCGACACAGGACACACAAACACGCACACGCAGGCCTGAGGTCGCGGTGAATTGAACGGATCAGTAAGCGTTCACGTTGCACAGCGCAGACAACTAAACGTATTTGGCCCAAACTTAGCGATACGCGTCGTGCACTACGCCTTGGAGGACAGCGGCATCGGTGCTCGAACAGTCACCTCCGCGGGCTTCATGACTCCTTCCATAATTCCACACAACTTGTGGAAAGATCCTCGAGTCGTGCGAAAGTTCGCTTTCCAGTCGTCGTCATCCGATACGGTGAAAACAGAAGACTTTGTTTCTGCTCTTCATCCAGAGCTCTTCCAGACCTTTGCGGTACAATGGCAGAGTTCAACAATATATTGTTGGTCAGAATTAAATTCTCCATGTACCTTCGGCGACGGCGTCTTCTCTCCGTTATCGAATCAGCCAATAGCGCCATTCGCATTCGCCGCGCTCCTGTTAGCATCACGCACACATAGTCGAGGGACGTAGCTTCACCTCGCTCTCCGCTCGCCGTCTTTCTCCTGACGTTGATGTTGTTGTTGTTGTTGTTGTTGGTCGTGGTGAAGAGGTCAAGCGGAAATGGCTGCATCACAACTAGTTGTAATGAAAACAGCGCCACCTATCGTATCGGACATGACGTGTTCTCAGCCAATGATTCCATTTATTCACTGCCGTGAATATTGAGATAACAGCACCTCCCCCCGAAAGATTACAATGATACCATCACACACACACACACA